GTGGGCGCTTCTCAGCTTGAGCAGAAGGATGGAGGACACCCCCGCCCCCCCTTCTCGGTGACGAAGCGGACGGCCGCCCGGATCTTGCCCTGCATGAGTCTGTTGAAGATGCGGTAGACGGACTCGTCGTCAAGAGGGGGCTGAGTGGTGGCGAACTGCTGGTCCAGTCGCTCAGCCTCGCAGAGCGCCTCCACCAGCCCGTCCCGCCACATCTCCAGCCGCCGCCAGACCACCCGGCGGATGTCCTTGGTTTGCCGCACATCGGGATCTCGCTGGATCAGTGTGCGGATGAAGACGAAGAGCCGTTTTGCAGGCGCCTCCTGTCCGGCAATGCTCTCCACCTCGTCAGCGACAGCATCAGCAATAGCTTCCCCAAGGTTGCCATCGGATAGGGTCACACAGCGTAGGCGAAGCTGACAGACCCGCTGATGATACTCCTCCCACTCAGGAAAGCCCGCATCGCCGGGCGAGTTGACGAGGGGCTCGCCGAAGGCCTCCTGCATCTTGTCATCGACGAAGGAGGCCGGGGAGGGTGCGGCAGGGCCGTCAGAAGGGGAAGATTCAACATCACCACTGCAAATCACCGGGTGCATGGGATACACAAAATTCGTGCAGGTACCACGCTTGCAGTTGACACAGTTAGTGCAGAGGGCTCCCTTCTGGCGGCATGAGCAGTTTCTCTGCACAGCTGAGTCCGTCCATTCGCGTTGCATGCGCAACATGGGGGCTCGTCTGTGTCTCGCTTTGCAGGGAGCTGGGAGCGCGGGGGTTGGAGGTAGTCAGACACGTGCTCTCTCATCCAGAGAGAAGGGGAAACCGCCGAGAAACAGCCAAATTACACATGGGGGCGTGTTGGTAGACATTGTAAAGCAAAGACACAAAGGGGCGACGAAATCCGTCTCAACCAAAGACACTAGCGTTCCAATCAACCAGACCATTGCAAGCCACGCGGAAGAAGGCAAAACATCGAAAACACACACGCGAGACACACACACACACACCCAAACACCAACCCTGCACGAAAGCACCCGCCCGCCTGCTTATAGCACAGAGGCGGGGATGGTGTGGGGCCTGTATGGCCCGCGGCTGACAGAGTCTTCTGGGAAGGCGTGGGCCCTCCGAGGACCCCTGGCGGCTGCGGCGCGCTGCGCTCGGCTGGCCACCTGGAACGCGTTGTGCTTCGTCAGCTCGACGGACAGGAGTTGGCTCCAATGTTTGATGACACTCTCGCGGAAAGCTCCGTCCTCATCGGCGGGGATGGAAGTGGGGCGGGGCTTCCTCTTGGCCAGCATCTTCAGGAAATCCATCGTCTTCTCTCCCCATCTGCCGAATGTCTCCTTCGCGAGAGGGACGAAGCGAAAGCCGGCTGCACGGGCGGCAGGACCATACTTGTCGATCTTCTCCTTCTCCGCCAGTCCTGCTGCTTTCCCACCAGGCAGCTGCGCGCCGCGCCGGTTCACCGTCCGGTGAAAAGGGATAGTGGAGGCGTCAGGTCGGCAGGGGTAGGTGATAGTGACACCGAGGAGATAGTCATGTCCGTCGATCACGCAGTAGATGTCCATGCGCTGGCTGTTGGGGCTGTCGTCGGGTGGGGTGATGCCGAGGCTCTGCAGGGGCGCCTCCACGTTGGACGGCACGTCTGCTTCCGCCAAAACGCGAAAAAACAGCTTGCGCATGTTGTTGTGTCTCAAAGATCCGCTCGCCGCCCGTATGGCAGAGAAAATAGTGGTCGCCAAACTCGTCAACCTCCCCGCCGCAGGTGCATCGCTGCATGACGGTTGCGTGCGGGAGGGCAATGCCGAGACGCTCGGCGACGGCGAGACGGTACTGGAAGTTGTTCAGCGTCTTGTGGTCGCTGGACGGGACCGCCGACAGCCAACCAGACGAGAGCGGCCCCTGGAGCTCAAGAGGCGGCAGCAGGACCTGCTTTCAGGCGGGAGGGAGTTGAAGAGCTCGTTGAAGCGGGCCTTGTGAAGTTGGTCGGTCAGCCGATGTTGCAGGCGCACCTGCGGTCTTGAGATGAGGTCCTGGAGGGAGGGGAGAGAGAAAGAGGGGCCGACCACTGCCGAGAGCGCTGTGAGGGCAGGAGCTGCTGCTTGAAGCCAGGGCAGGTCAAGGAGGGCGGAGGCTCCCCCTTGAAACATCCAACGGGCTCCGCTGAAGCGGCTAGAGACATCAGAAGTCGTGGCCGCGACTGATCCCACATAGGCGGCGCGAGCGATCGAAACTGCGAGATAAGGCCGAAACCCCCCAGCCGAATAGGCAGTTGGACTTGCGCAGACATCGAGCAGGGAAAGTCGCCGGGGAAGCGAAACATGCGCCTGAAGGTCGTGATGATAGCGTCGTCATGTTTCTCGGCGGCTGGCAGGGGAAAGTCGGTGTGTGGGGGGAGAAGGCGCAGCCAGTAGTTTAGCCGGGGAGACGCGCAATAGCGGAGAAGCAAGCCAGGTCCATGCAGGCCCACCTGAGAG